AACGCCTCGACGTCAACGGCGACGTCGACGTCGGAGGATGCCGCTGTCAATGTCAGCCGCAGCGCTGTTGCATGGAATCGGAATTTTTCAACCATATGTTTACTTAAGAATCATTTATATTTATGTGCTCAAGTGAGACAAGACCTGGGCAGATCGGAGCTATCATATGATGTCAACTGCCCACACACACTGAAAAATCACACATCAGATGAGCAGCAAGCTCAAGGTTAGCATCAGCAGCAGAAACTACCTCATCTAACTCATTGTCGTCCTCCTCGCGTATGGTGCGATCGTCGTCATCATCGCCATTGATTGCATTGGACATCACTGAGGTGGCCACCGATGATTCCCTGGCCATGGAGTTGCCACGCGACGTTGGCGTGTGTGGCAGCTGTTTGGAGAGCTGGAACGCCTTAGTTAGTATGTTTTGAGTGGAGCGTGTGCGTCCCACAGAGCCGCAGCGTTCCATGCTGTTGCGCTCGCGCTGTCGCTCAATCAGCGAGATTGTATCGTAATCATCGTAATATGCCGAGCTGGGCGTGCTGCAGCGACTGCTGTAGCCGCCTCCAACTCCGCTTATGCTGCCGTTGCTGCTGTTGTTGGTTTGGCGTCGCGTGCGCCGTCCCATGGCTGCCCATTCCTCCTGCACATGGTCGGTGCGCTTGAGAAAGTTTTGTATCTTCTCGCTGAGGTAGGCGGACGAGGTGCGCGGATCCTCAAACGAGGGAGTCGGCCGGAGAGTTTGATGCACCGGTTGTCTTTGGCAGCCCAAAACAAAGGACAGATTTGCATCAAAGACCACCGGCGAGCTCTCCAGCTGACGCATCTCATAAGGATCCAGGCCACTGCCCTTGGTATAGGTCTGGGGGAAGACTCGACGCGGCGGCGTCTCCAGTCGCGACGTACGCGAAACGCTGGACTGCGTGGAGCAGCGCGATGACATCGAATAGGCGGGACTGGGCGAACGCGTCAGCAGACGCAATCGATCAGCGGCAGCATCGGATGCAGATGCAGTTGAGGCCGAACCCCTTCCCGTACTAGCGCCTGTGCCTGTGCCTGTTGAGAGAGGCAGTGTCAGCGAAACCTCGTAGTGGCTGTCAGTAGTCTCCTGCTGGCAATTACCCAGGCCGGACGTTGAAAGCGACTGCGAAGTGGTGCTGCTGCTGCTGTAGTTTGTGGCACGTGGCGTGTAGCTGTTGGTGTTGTGGTGTGTGTTGCGTGTTGTGGTGTTGCCGTGCCCATTGCTCAGGACAGGGCTCTGCTCGCGCTGCTTGGGCAGCAGACGTATCTGCTTGCGTGCCTGGCTGCTTGGCGGTTTCGGTGGCTTCAGTGTGCCCAGCGAGGAGCCACTGCCGCTGCCGCTGCCGCTGCCACTGCTGTTGTTATTGTTTCTCGTTATACCATTCATGGCTGCCAATACGCGTGCCATAAACGTCTCCTTGTCCTGCTCCGGTTGAGACTCTAATTGATGTTTAAACACATCACTGGCTGCTGGCGGCGCTGCAATGTCAGCACTGTCAGCAAGGGCTGCATCGACAGGCGCCAGCGGTGCCATTGGGGAGGGGAGGGGTCAACAAGGGGGCTTAAATGCGTGTTAATCAGGCGATAGTACGAAATGGGTTAGTGGGCTTTGTGGAGGAGGTTTTCGTTTTGGTTGTGTGCAAATCTGGTTGAGCCAATTCGTTAATTTCGTTTTGAGTTCGTTTTTTGATTATGGATCGTTTTATGTGGTTCGGGGGGATATCTTTGTGAGATTTTACGTGCTGTCAAAAACTTGAGATCGCTCGCTGGCAAATATTTAAATTTATCGCAAAAGCCCCATTTATTTTGGCTTAAGCATCAAATTGCCAATATGTTGCTTCTTTTCTTTTCTTTCTTTTTTTTTATTTTCCTTATGTTTTTATTTTATTCTTGGCACCGATTTCCTATAGCACACACGCACGCAAACGTATCGGATTCGGAATCTGATTTGCATACGAACTCGGATACGGATCTCGCGGCACGGCTCGGTGTTGGGCGCCTCCGGCGTTCGCGTCGCGACGTTTGCTCAGCAACTAACAGAATCTCTTTGAGAACAGCGGCCACTTGCGATGCGTGACCAGAAAAGCTCACCGGGGCAGCCGCTATTTGCCAAAATATTCAGCAGCCCCAGAGAAGCTGAGAGATAGATGCCGAGAGAGACAGATACTGAGAGAATCGGCGAGCGTCTGTTGAAAGAATTGCAACATGGATCTTCTTTATATTGACATAATCTCAAATAGACATACATATATATTTATATCTGCCAAATGTATGTAATAAGCAGAGACAACTGTTGATTTCCTCAACGTTTATATAAACGAATGACCAACATGTGTTGGTCGGAGTTGCAACACGAGCACAGCAGCGCTATAAAGTATTATTAATGATCTTTCAGAGCATTTAAAAATACATACAACACACAATTCTTAAGTGCAGAGAAACACAAATGTATATATATACATATTAAGAGTACATATATAAAGATGTGAGTTTGTACAAAATACGTATACCCACCCAGTCAGTGTTCAATGGACTCACGCATTGCCCAGAAGCTATTTATATTTTACAATAAACCAAACAAGAGGCGGAAATATCGCCAGATCGCAGTCGCAACTCATTTGTATCTATCGCCGAATGCACTCATTGCGAATTYGCCATTAGCCAAATGCGTCGTAGACGWTTAGAAGTTTTCAATGGCATTACGGAGTGCACAAATCGAAAGCACTTTAATTCTGCCTCACTATCATTATCAAATTTGGTCATTCGCGTATTAGAGCTGTGCAAGACATATGTTTAGATAAACATATGTGTGCTAAGTTTAATGGGTCTTAAAATAAAATGATTCAAAAATACTCAGCCAAAAAGACTATGTATTCACTTATATATTGTATGTATATATCCACTGTCGAATTTTTAATATATTGGCTGGTATCAGCAATAATTTAAAAAACTCATTTAAGATAGTAATTAGTTTATGCATTTTCTTATTAGTTTGTCAATGAGCCACCACTGTGCAGCATATGAGCATACAAACATACTATATGCAGACATCATTCATAGAAGAACTGAGCATAACATAAACCATCATTCGGCAAAATGTTTGCACCACTTGTCTACCCAAATCTTGGCGCCCCAGATAATTGTCATCTGAGCTAACGTGGGCCGCAGCAGCCACATGCCATGTCATCCGTGGCTGCSCAATTTTAATTAAAAGCTAATGTGAARCATTGCTCTGACTGGGAGTGAGAGAGCAAGCGAGAGGCGGAAAGTGCGCTTACCTTGGCTTCCAATTTCTGATTTTCGTTCCTCACTTCGCTGCGATCGTACTCGATCTTCTCCAGCTTGGCACGCAGCATGATCAGCTCCTCGTTGGCGATCTTCAGCTGCTCCTCGGTGCGGTGTACATTGAGTAGAGGCGTCACACGCACCAGCAAACGCCACCAAGGCCAATCCCGCACGGCCAAAAAGGCCTTCACATTACGCTGAATACAACGCACTGCCAGCTCCTACAATAACAAGAGATAGTCAAGGCTTCTGGGGCAGCCTAAGCAAAACCCACTCACCTGTACACGGCGCTGTGACATCTTCTTGCGTGCCAAATAACCACGACATAGTGCCTGCAGCTGAATAATGCGATCCGATAGCAGCACATCTCGTTTAGCTTCCAGCTCATTGAGTACGCCGGATCGGAATAGAATCTGCAAATATTATTTAACATGATAAGCACACAATTAGTTATAAATTTCAATAGGCAATAAGTACTATTCTTGATTTTTTTT